AGCAAAAAAGATGAAAGGTAACTTGGCAGTCAAGAGCCAGGGGTGAAAGCCAAAGATGGGACCATCATCTCGGGCGAGAAGGAAAAGATGGAGAGTGGAAGGAACCCTTCCAAGAGACCCTGAATAGACCAGCGCCTGTAGAAGCAGTAGACATCCCAGAAGCCATAGAAACTCTCGACATCAACACCAACCACATCACAGTTGAAGATGTTAGAGGATCCATAAAGAAGCTCAACAATAGAAAAACTCCTGGACAGGATGACTGTGTGTGCAGAAATGCTGAAAGCCGATGAGCAGGATACACCTAGACACCTTTGCCGTATCCTCCAAAGAATCTTGAATCGAGAAGAGCAACCAGAGGAGTGGAAAACAGACCTCATAGTGTCGGGTGATCTGTGGAGCCTGTGACAGAAGATTTCCCTGTGGAAACTGGTGTCAAGCAAGGCTACATCCTGTCACCATTCCTGTTTATACTGGCGATGGATTGGCTAATGAAGGCAACAACAGATGGGCAGAGAACTGGAATCAAATTGACGCCAACATCAACACTAGAGGACCTTAACTTAGCTGATGATGTGGGACTTCTCGCCTGCCGACACATCGACCAGCAGGAGAAGGCAAACAGACACACACCAATTGCAGTCAAGTTGGGACTTTGCATCAACATCTCAAAGACGAAACTAATGGAGCTAAATCCAAAAAACACCCAGCCACTCACTGTCAACAACCAGCCAGTGGAAGAGGTATGTGAGTTCATCTACTGATGGAGACAGTGAGGTCAACGCCAAGGTGACCAAGGCCAACCAAGTATTTGGAATGCTCTTGAGTGTCTGAAGGTCCAGAAAGCTGAGCCACATTACTATGCTATGGATCTTCAGAAGCAATTACCTGAGTGTGCTGCTTTATGGGTGTGAGTCTTGGAAGATGACCCAGAGGATCTCCAAAAAATTGGACACTTTCCAAACAAAGTGTCTGAGGAGGATTAAAGGTGTATATAGGTGTACACCATCAGCAATATGGACTTGCTGGAATTGGCTGAGCAGACAAGACCTTTAGAAGTTGTTAGGGAGAGGAGATGGCGCTGGTTAGGACATGTCCTAAGAATGCCCCGATGCCCAGAATGGCCCTTACCTGGAGGCCTCGCCTGGGCGACTGCAAGACGGAAGGCAGCATACCAGAACTCCTGGAGTACCCTAGTGACCCCATGTGCTAAGGGTCCTAAGTAAGTAAGTACAGGTATAAGTAAGAATAAGACCCTCTCTTAAAGTACTGAGTTTCATTGAAATGTTTCTACCCTGAACCAACAATTATCAATATGATTAGGGTTGGTCCACTATGGGTTGGCCTCTGTTTGCCTTTCTTCTGTGATAGTAGTAGCAATTTAAGCATATTGAATAATTTTTTCACTGCATATCTCCGAGGGATAGATCAATGTAGCAATGTGTCTAATTCCATCCAAAATAGACATGTTGATTAGTTGGAACTTCTCCAAGTTGACCAGGAAACACAGCAAGTGATGGAACGCTAGTCAATAATCAAAATAATGAGCCAACTCTTCCTCTGATTGATGAAAAGAAACTAGCAATATCAATAAACGAAAATGTAGACTTGTTTGTGAGTACCGACAGTACAATGGACAGTATCTTCTTGACCTCAAACCTCAACAGGAATTGACTAACTGTACGATGAAAAGTGCAGGTAAATATCCTTCAAATCTAGGGCAATCATGATATTTCTGAATCACCTTTTGTCGATGGTCTGTTTGGTGACAATAAGAAAGCTGTGCAATGAATTCTGGTAATGACATAGCAGTGCCAGTCACTCTGGAAAGTCTGATCTAGGATTCTGGATTAGGGGGGCGATAAGTTTGCCAAAGGCCAAGTTCTCTAGCGCCGATGGCCTAAAGCCCTGTTGGTTGTTAAAAATATGGGGGGCCTCGGCCACCCTCTAAATCCGCCAATGAGTAAGATATGTTTGCTACATTCAGGGCTACATCAAACCATATCTAATAAGGATCCTAAATATGTTGCACACCATATATTTAAATTAAATTCAGTAGTCCTAATTGGACTTGTTACATGTAGATTCTCATGGCATCATCTCCGATACATAGTCTAATAACGTATCATTGAGTGTACATGTTTGACAGTGAGTAGAGCATCAATTATCTCACTCCCACATTGGTGAGAGGGGGGATGCTCCACTTTCATTATTCATAGTTGCTTCTTTGTGGACCTGAATTAGTATGCTATCGTGCATTTCAAGCTGTATTTATATCATTTATACATTGTGCATATTGTTCATGTCCAAATGCCAATTTGTAGATCTTTTATTTTTTTGTTTCTTGGGATGTATTGAGTAGGGGGGCTGCACGCCTGGCGTATAACAATGCAGTTATTTGCACCGCTCAGTATTTCGTGATAACGGGGCAAGTATGTGGTTGTGCTCAATAACATCCCATCCAAGTCTGATTATTTAAACAATAATGAATTTCCCACAGTGCTATATTGGATAAAGAAAATGTTCTACGGCAAAGAGAATGCGTGAGTGACAGCCAAATACAGTATCGCATCTATACTTTTCACCGAACTCCAATATAGCACTGTGGGAATTTGTTTTGAATCGCAACATTCAGAATTGAACAAATATCGTTCATTTAGACAATGTAATGATAATGTCAAGCTATGATGTCATAAACACCTCCGATTCTGTAAGTGGTGATTTATTAAACGCAGTAATGGTGCAGCAGAAACACATTAAACATTTGGTATTGCAGGTCACAGTGCTTTGTTGCAGGTATGCATAGACAATCCACGAGTGAAGACATAGCTTTAAAGTAAATGTCCAGGTGAAATCATTAGAATCTTGTATGTAGAACCAATTGGCCAATGAAAAGGAGACGTTTCAATAACGGGTGGGCGGGATATCATCAGGAGGGTATTTGATTATGTAGTTTTGACACAGACTCGGTTTGACCTATGCCAACTGTGTTAACATAACATATGATTAATGTGCCTCAGACTAAATAAAAAATATTGATTTTAATCATTATCATTTTGAATATTGTTTTGTGTTGAGATAATGGGATGATATAGTGCAAATAGGTTGTGTGAGTCATGCAGTTTGTGATACCGGAAGTGACGACAATAATTCATGATGTTCTTGTACGATCCAATTCATCCTTTTCAAAAGCACAGCAAAAATCCGCAAGAAGATCTCTCGGTTACAAAGTAAAATTGATGCTATCATGCAATACTACAACTTATACAGATCTTATTAAAAATGTTGCTTTTATTAATTTTATCTTATCTTATCCTATCAATTGACAAATTATTGGAGTTTTTTGACCGAATACTAAAGACCCAGGGTTCCAACATGCAAGAGCGATATAAAAATTATAGGCCATCAACCTCTTCCTAGCCTTTAAGCATTCACAGCTGACAGTGAATTAATTCAGAATCTGGGTACAATTTGTCCGCCAATTACCAGGGCCAGCTCAAAATGGTCTGGGCTCTAAATAAATAAAAATCACCAATATTTCACATTGAGACTCCACGAAAATGAGATTCGATGATAACTTACAAAGTTTCATAAAATATATTCAGCTACGTGTTTGATATAACCGGTAATTCAATTCTATCGATTTGATCTATTCAATGAATCCTGGTTCCCGTCATACTTTTATAAAAAAAAAATGCAATTGCAGCAGACAAAGAATATGCAAATTTAAAATTGTGATAATTATATTTTTGCCATCTAGATACGCTCAATGTGACCAATTATTTTGTCTAGTTCGTACTTTCTGTAAGAGGAGGGTCAGAGCATCTATCATTATGGAGAATATGTGTTAATTTAAAACCAAATTATTATTTTTTCTATTAAAAAGAAAACCTTGTACTACCCAGAATTTTTAGAACGTTGTTTAATAGTTTGTAATTTGCTATATGATGTTTTAGAATATGAAATGCACTTTGGTTTGTGTCTGAGATTGTGTTTTTTGTGTTTCATTTAGTGTTTGTTTTTTTAGATGTTTGTCTATGATCCAAATATTTCCATTTTTTACAATGATGAAACCTGACGTTTGAGAACTGTCATTTATTTCATGTATTCATGTGGTTAGTTTATAGTGTTATAGTGTAATACATGTCATTTACGCTTGTTTATTCCATTCCCCGCCAGACTTTCTCGCGTAAATCTTTCTGCATTTGTTTCCTATAATCTTCAATATTTCTGGAAACAAACCCTAATTTTTGAGCCAACAGACAAAATTCGAGTCAAATTTTCAGTTTTACTCAGAAAATTTTGCTATGGGACTATTTTATGAATTTGAGATGAAAAGAGGGGAACTAGAAGTGAGGTTATATTGACCAAAATAACACCAACCTTTGACAAAGGGATAATAAATTTAACTTACTTTACGTAACTTCGCATTAGCGGATTCAGTTCCACCCCAAACACACACATACAAACTCACAGGACATCTTTTCTGATATTTTTTTCTTTTTATTTCAAAGATGGTAGTAACATAGATATTAGATTAGATTAGATTAGATTAGATTAGATTAGATTAGAGATTAGATTAGATTAGATTAATAATTATATCTTCGTTATCTCACAAAACAAGTGATTTTAAATATTTTTTTTAAATGTTCACACAATAGCCGTGAATTTGGATATAACGTTATGGAGCACGCACAATTGGAGTTGTCATGGCAACGAGTATGGTAACCCTCCATAACATATGCCAACAGAGGGACATTACTTGAGGTTTGACGTACATTCAGAAAACATTAAGTAAATGTTCTTGTGTATTAATTTAAAATATTTGGTCACTTATTAATCACTTGTCACAATCATTATTAGTGTGTTTGTAATCGTGAAATATTGACCCTAAACTGTCCAACATATCAATGTAGTGACCATGCATGTCATGTCGTATCAGTTAATCACGATATAGTGGCCATATAACCCATACAATGTTGATTAAGGTACACATAACAATGTCGTCCGTGGGTATAATCGCGTTGTTATACTGTTTATTGTCGAGCACATTCTGCCAACCTCTGACAAAACAGACTGTGGAATCTTTGAATGAATTCATCAAAACCACTATGAATTGTAAGAACGTAACAGGCCTGACGGTATCTTTGGTACGGGGTGACGATACCGTATTTGCCGAGGGTTTTGGATCTGTTCGCTTGGATGGTTTAGACGCAGTCACTAACACCACTTTGTTCAACATTGGCTCTGTCAGTAAGACGTTCACGTCGACTGTTGCGGCGGACGCGATTGGAAGAAAGCTAAGTACTTGGGATACTCCTTTTAGGTCGATTTTAGGTGATAGCTTTTGGATGCAGGGGCTGTTCCGAACTGAATTGGTGAATCTACGTGATGTTTTAGCCCATAAATCTGGCATAGCGAATTACTGGGGTGTTAGTACCGCTGCCCTTGGTCTCAACAGAGAAGAGTTAGTGAGGTAAATAAGAAAATCGGTTCTCATTTTGTGGCCATGTTATTCTCGGCACAGCAAAGGCTTTCCCTTCCTCTGTAAAAATATTTATAAATGACAATTGTAGTTGACTCAAACCAGCCGATCGACCAATGAACATTGACGTCACTTAGAGACGTCCAATGTTATATTTCATCAGCCAAACAACTCTTGTTTTTGTTTGAACTGTGAAATTTATGAATATATATATTCAAAGATAATAAGAATGCTTTTATTATAGTGTCTTGCATTAACACATATGTACTTATGATGTTGATTAGTGTACATAGATAGACGGACTGTGATTTGTGTCAGTACTTGACAAGTTTGCTCCCTGTGTCTCAAGAAAACCCCATTTTAAACAACTTGAATAACATTCTAGGCTATTTTGACTTAATCATTTTGACGTTTATAGCACATATGTAAAATTAATGAATTTGCAAAAAAATGAAAGATCCCCTCTGCTAGTAGCTTAATTTAAATGCTCACCCGTCATTGAAGCTCGGATCGCCGGGTGACCCAGTTATTATACAGAAGTCTACAGAATTTATTAACAAAGGGCGATTTAAAGTAGTGCAGACTAGTGGGAAATGAAACTAATTTTCAACACAGTTTACGTTACATAACGCACATTTTTCATTTGGTCTGAATATGTTATTCCAGGGACCGATTCTGATATTAAAGCGCGGTGGTCGTCACGCAGCGCGTGTTAAATTTCATGTAAATAAACAATGTAATTTACACGCGTTGTATACGTCGCGTTGTATACGAGTCCCATATCGAACAGGACGCGGCACGACGACCAACGCCCTTTTATTATATTGTTTCGAGATTACCCTGAAGTTCTAAATACTGAGAGGCTGTCCGAGCAGGCGATTGTCCACAGGCACATTAAATATAGATTGAAATACAAGTTCTTTCTTGAACGGGGCATATGTTTCAAGGGCTACCTGGAACGTGTGTGATACTATCAGGGGGGTAGTTCTTCTCTCTGGGTTCTCCACACGTGTCCGGGGGGAATCTCGTCTCGGCTCTATGTCACGTCCCCTTGAGGTATGGGATCGGGGAAGTCACTTAAGCCTTACAGTCGGACAGTCGAGTACTCTATAAGACACAGCGCCCTGGGGAAAAGCCCCCAAGACTATCGCAAGACTGACCCAAGACTAGCCCAAGACTGGACTGCCTCAAGGCTCTCTAGGACTGGACTGCGTCTGTCGTGCTGTACTAGCCAAGACCAACTAAAACAA